TTTGGGGTGTGTTGGCAAAGCCCGGGGGAAGTGTGGGGGTGGGATCCTCAAATCCTGCTCCTGCTCGGCCTGGTTGTTGGTCCAGCTGTGCATTCCATCCGTCTGTCCCATCACCTCCCCTGGTGGCAGCCAGCAAGCCCTGAGGGTGTGGGATGACCCTTGACTCATCCCTGCCCTCCACTCCCCAGTCCTGCCAGGAACAGGCCTGGTGGCACGGGACAAAGGTGCAGGACAGCCATGTCCACCCAGCAGCAGCTTTTGTGGGGCCTGTGACCCTGGGGTGACCCATTGGTCAGGGTCAGGGGTCTCTGAAGTGTCCCCAGACAAGCTGGGCCCTGGCATGCTGGAGGCTCTGTCCCTGCTGCGTGTCCCAGATGCCAAGATGGGAACAGCAATTCATGGACAGACATGGCCAGTGTTCCTGACACTGCTGCACCCCAAGGATCACCCCAGAGCAGGTTGGGGTGTACCACACTGTGCCACTGACTGACTTGGGACCTGAGGATGCTCGTGCTGAGGGCACTGGGTGCCATGGAGGGGGCAGAGCGGGGGCTGTGGTGACACAGGGGTACACAGGGTGCCTGGCTGTGGTGTGGGGGTCAGGGCCCACCTGTGTGCAGGGAGGTTGTGGCACCTTGTGCAGGCACACAGCTCATGCAGCTCCTCCCAGCACTGGCTCTGCCACCACGCTCACCTCTTCAAGGTGGCTTTTATCTGGCCCAGGCTGTGTTGCAGGCAACAGGGCTGGAGTGGGCTCTGGAGAGGGTTGGAGTGGGCCCTGGAGAGGGCTGGAGTGAGCTCTGGAAAGCCTCAGTGCAGAGCTGGGGAGTGTCTCACACAGGAGAGGAGCCACGTCCCTGCAGAGCAGGTCTGGAGGGGCCCAGGCTCCTCTGCAGCAGCCAAACCCCAACACCAGGGCAGTGCCTGCCCAGATCCCCCCACCCCATCCACGGGCTCCCACAGAGCTCAGGAGGAGTCACCCACAGCAGGAGGGACCCGCGGGTTTGGGGGCATCCAGCAGGAGGTGCTGGGCAGCTCCGTGCCCAAGCAGGGGCAGCTCCGTGCCCGAGCAGGGGCAGTTCTGTGCCCAAGCAGGGGCAGCTCCGTGCCCAAGCAGGGGCAGCTCCGTGCCCACCTGTGGAGCTGAATTTAGGGACAGTGCCCACAACACCCCCCTAGGCTGCCTGGGGGGCTCGGGAAGCCCCCACCCCATACTCTGCCTTCCAGGCTGGGCACCCAGAAGGCCCAAGCACGCAGCAGGAGCGGTGCCCATGGGCAGAGCGAGCCGTGCCCCGTGAGTCACGGCGCGGGGCGGCTCCGAGCCCCGGCAGCACCGGCGGCGTTCCCGTGGGAGAAGCGGCCGCGGTGCCGGGGTGCAACAGGGCCGGGGCCACCTGCTCCTGCCCGGGCTGGTAATTGAGTCACCGGTTGCAGATTGATGGTTTAATTAAAACCCAATTAGAAACCTCATTGATCTTGTTAGCAACACGGGAAGGTGCCGGCTTTAGCCGGGATTACAGGGATTGTATGGCCGTCGATAGCGGCGGGGGGCACCTGTAGGGTGCTCCTGGAGTCCCGGCGAGCTTGGGGACGGTTCTCCCTGTCCCGCCGGGTGCCGCCCGCTCCCTCCACGTGCGGATCAGCCCTCGCCTCCCCCCCCGCTCGGAGCCCCGGTTCCCCACGCAGGGAGGTGGCCCCGGGGACACCGTGTGCCGGTAGCGCCCGCGCCTTGCGGCTGCGCCAGGCGAGGCCGGGGGGGCTGTGCTGTGGCTCGGTGCCACCCGTGCGCGTGGGCTGCGTCGCAGGCGCTGTCTGCCGAGCCAGCGCGCGTGTGCGTGGCCGTCTGGGCGCCGTGACTGTGCAGCGCTGCCTGCGTGGGGAGGGCTGCGCTGAGGCCCCCCGGCTCCCCCGCCGTGGGTGCGGGAGGATGGACGGGTGGTCTGTCTGTCTGTCCGTCCTTCCGTCCGGTGGGACGGACCGGCCACAGCGGTCGATGCGCCTTTGCCTCTCGCTGTGGTGCGGGGTGACGGGAAGGGGACTCGTAAATCAATGGCACTTTTTTGTTCCCCGGGTGATGGATGGGCCCCGGATGCGCCAAAAGGACGAAGCTACTGGAGCCGAACAAAGAGCCTGGCTGTGCTGGGGGCTGTCCAGTGCTGGGGGGCACCACATCGAGGACACACCACACTGCCCTGCTCCTCACTGCTGGCACCGCCAGTGCGGGGTGCTGAGCCCGGCTCTGGCCCCGCTGCCCTCCAGGCCCCTCCAGCACCATGGGAATGAGAGTCTGTAGGGTGAGGGTCCCGACGGGGGTCCGGTCCCGCCGTGCCACTGCTGCCAGGGCGTGCTGCAGTGCACCAGGCGCCCTCCGGCAGTGTGGGAGCCAGCGTGCGGCACGCAGCCCGGATTTATGGCAGCAGATGGGAGCGGAGCGGAGCGGAGCGCCCGCCCGGCTCACCGGTGGCTGCGGCGTGCCAGGTAGCCAAGGTGCCACCAGGGTGCCACCAGCGTCCCTCCGGTGCGGGGCCGGTGGGCACCGAGCCCAGGGCCGGTGCTGCCAGGGGACATCCATCTGCCCAGCATGACAGGCTGCTGGAAGGTACCACCGCCTCGCCAAGCCCTGCTCTACAAACGCAGTCGTGCAGAAGTGATGCTGCCCGCTCTCCTCCCGCACTTAACCCTTCGGGCACTGCCAGAGCCCACCGGCCCCACCGGCCATGCCGTGGCTGCCAGGGTCTGGCGTGTGGAGGGTCCATCCCAGCCCGGGGGATGGTGCTTCCTGATAGCTGCGGAGCTGGACGGGACCAGGCAGCCCGTGCCTGCTCTGGGATGGGTGCTGGTGAGAAAAGAGGCAGAGTCCCTCTCTCAGAGTGTCTCTTCCTGCCCTTCCATCCCAAACCAAGGCCCACGGGCTCTCTGGGTGGTGCTGTCACCAGATCTTGGAGCATTTAGGCCGTTGCACTGAGGGATTTGGGGGTATCTAGAGTTGCTGCTCTGCAGTGACTGTGTAGGAGCCAAGCGTGGCAGGGACACGGTGTTGTGACCAAAGCTGCTGCTGGGGTCACCTGGATGTGCCTCGGGCTGTGGTGGCCCTGTGGCTCTCCCCATGTGGGGCCATTCCCCATCCCCTCCCAGCTTTTGGTGCTGCCTGTGGGCTCCTGGCAATGCCCATGGGAGTCACTACCGTGGGGCCCTTGCCCCACCAGCTGGGGCTCCTGCACGCTGCCATGGGTGCTGCTGTCCCCCGGCCCAGGGGAGGCTTTGGTGCCTCGTTAGTGAGGCTGTTTATCAGCAGCCACGCTTCTTAATGAGCTGTGGCTTAACGAGCCCCAGCCTGGGGTCCCAGGGGACTGTGCCTCAGCACTGGGTGCCCCAGGGGAACGGGGGGGTTACCTCTCCCCAGCACCCCGTGACAGAGTGTCACTTGTGGCACTTCTCCTAGTCCCTCTGTCCCATGGCACAGCTGTGGGGAGCCCCAGCTGCGGGTGCCCGCCCCGGTGTGGGGCAGCTGTTCTTGGGGTACGCCGGCGTCCCAGCTCTGCGTCCCGCGTGGAGTTAATTGCAATTTTCTCCTTGGGGCCATTTCTTTAATAACAAGCCTTTTTCTCCCCCCGCCCCCCTTCCCACCACATCAAAGGGGGAAGATGAAAGGTCCCGGCGCCCGCTCAGCAAGGGTGGCTGCCTCAGCACCTTCCCGGCGGAGCGGTTGCCGGCGGGTGCCGGGATGGGCTGCGGAATAGCGGCTGCGCAGCGAGGGAGGGGCCGCGTGGGGCTGCGCTCCTGTCCCACGAGTGATGAGTTCTGCCATCAGCTTCCCCCCGCGTTGCCCCCCGGTACCGGAGGCGGCGTTTCTTGTCCCCCCGCTTTGCCTCCCGGCACCGCGTCCCGCTACGGTTCTGTCTCCGAGCTCGGCTCCGGTGCCGCGGGCGCTGGCGGAGCGCCGGGGCTCCTCAAACAGCGCCGGGGGCGATGGTGCAGGGTGGGGCGTCTGCAGGCGCAGCCCTGCCCGCTGCCTGCCCAGCCCTGCCGGAGAGACCCGGGGAGCCGCTGGGCTCCGGGAGGGGCGGCGAACCCCCCACCCACGGCCAAGGGAACCCCGAGTGATGCTTTGGGGGCGCACGGTGTGGGGTTTGCCCTGAGAGCTGGGGAAAGGGCCGTGATGCGGAGCGATGCGCCCAGAGCTGGAGCTCCACTGGGGAGCTCCACGGCCACGCGTGCCGGGATGCTGCTGTCCGTGTCCTGCGGGATGCGGGGCCGGTCAGGGTCCGGTGCCGAGCCAGCGGCGGGTGGTAATTAATTGGCAGGAGCAGCGGGTCAGCGCGGCGGCGAGGATTACCGCGGCCGGGATTTCCGTCGGGCGCGGATTAGGAGCCAGCGGAGCCTCTCCTGAGTGGATCTGAGGGGATTGCTGCTCCTAATCAATGTAAATGAGGCTCCCCCAGGGCCACCCTTTACGGCATTAACGAACTAACGGGATTAGCCGGAGCAGGGTGAGAAATCCTGGCTCGGAGCTGCGGCGCGTGCCAGGGCCGCGGTGGGCGGCAGCGGTGGGTCGGCTCCAGGCTGCTGGAAATAGGGAATGCCGGGGAATTCCAAGGAATTCCGGGGTCTTCCGCACACCCACGGGCTGTCCCGTGGAGAACCTGATGCCTGTGGGACCCGGATGCCCTTCTGGGTCTGTGTGTGCATCATCTCCCCTTTGAGGCTCCGTGCTCTTGCCCGTCCCACCTGTACGTGTGGTTTGACACCTGTCCCCAGCAGCGCCTGTCCCCACCCCCAGGCCCACCCGTGCCCTCCAGGACGGGGATTCTGCTCCACTGGTGAAGCTCAGGCTGTGCAGGGGCCCCACTGTGTCAGGGGCTCCACACAGGGCTTGAACAGGGGGTACCACTGCTCCCACAGTTCGCTGCAAACTCACCCAGCCTCTGGCTCCCCTGGGAGAACCCTGTCTGGGGATGTGCAGGTCCAAGCCTGACCTCCCATCCTTCTCTCCCTTGCAGCCTGCGGCGGGAGGGCTACACGGTGCAGGTGAACGTCAACGACTACCTGGACATCTACTGCCCTCACTACAACGCCTCGGTGCCCGAGCACCGGCTGGAGCAGTACGTGCTCTACATGGTGAACGCGGAGGGCTACCGCACCTGCAACACTAGCCAGGGCTTCAAGCGCTGGGAGTGCAACCGGCCCCACGCGCCCCACAGCCCCATCAAGTTCTCGGAGAAGTTCCAGCGCTACAGCGCCTTCTCGCTGGGCTACGAGTTCCGTGCGGGGCAGGAGTACTACTACATCTGTGAGTTACTACGTGTGTGAGTTACTATGGGTGTGAGCGCTGCTACGTGTGTGAGTGCTGCTACGTGTGTGAGCGCTGCTACATGTGTGAGTACTGCTACATCTGTGAGTTACTACGTGTGAGAGCGCTGCTACGTGCGTATGAGTTACTACGTGTGTGAGCGCTGCTACGTGTGTGAGCACTGCTACATGTGTGAGTACTACTACATCTGTGAGTTACTACGTGTGAGAGCGCTGCTACGTGTGTGAGCACTGCTACATCTGTGAGTTACTATGGGTGTGAGTGCTGCTACATGTGTGTGTACTGCTACATGTGTGAGTTAATACGTGTGTGAGTACTACTACATCTGTGAGTTACTACGGGTGTGAGCACTGCTACATGTGTGAGTACTGCTACAGCTCTGTTACTACGTGTGTGAGTTACTATGGGTGTGAGCTACTACGTGTGTGAGCGCTGCTACATGTGTGACTACTGTTACAAATGTGTTACTACGTGTGTGAGTTACTACGTGTGTGAGTGCTGCTACATGTGTGAGTGCTGCTACATGTGTGAGTACTACTACATCTGTGAGTGTTACTACGGGTGTGAGTTACTATGTGTGTGAGCACTGCTACATCTGTGAGTGTTACTACGGGTGTGAGTTGCTACGTGTGTGAGCGCTGCTACATCTGTGAGTGTTACTATGGGTGTGAGTTACTACGTGTGTGAACGCTGCTACATGTGTGTGAGTTAGTATGTGTGTGAGCACTGCTACATGTGTGAGTACTGCTACATCTGTGAGTGTTACTACAGGTGTGAGTTACTAGGGGTATGAGTTGCTACATGTGTGAGTGCTGCTACATGTGTGAGTACTGCTACATATGTGAGTGTTACTACGTGTGTGAGCACTACTACACGTGTGAATGCTGCTACATGTATGAGGAGTACTACATGTGTGAGTGCTGCTACGTGTGAGTGCTGCTATGTGTGTGAGTGCTGCTACACGTGTGAGGAGTGCTACTACATATGTGAGTACTACTACATGTGTGAGTGCTGCTACATGTGTGAGTGCTACTACATATGTACGTGGGGTGCCAAGGTGGGACGCCCACACAGCCCCCACACCGCAGGTCCCACCCCAGCTGGGTCCCCTCAGGTCCTCCCACCCCAGCTGGGTCTGTCTGCGTCCCCCTTGGCTGATTCCCCTGCACCCCAAAACTGGGCAGCTCTTTCCCCTCTAAGAGTGGGAACCTGGAGCTCTGGGAGGGGGTGAAGGAGCAAAGGGACAGGGGGAGGGATTGTTTACATGATGCAGGGAACAGATAGGGGTGTGAGGAAAGATGGGGGTGCCAATGCTTGATGGGGTGCTGGGGGATGATGATGGAGGATGCAGGATGCTGCTGCAGGATCAGGGTTCAGGGGCTGCTGCTGCAGGATTGCAGTGCTGGTGCCTGATGCTGGTGCTGGGCTGGGGTGCTGGAGCTGATGGTCAGGCCTGGGGTGCTGCTGCAGGGCATTGCTGCAGGATTTGGGGTGCTGGTGTGGGGCATTGGTGCAGGATTTGGGGTGCTGGTGTGGGGCATTGGTGCAGGATTTGGGGTGCTGCTGCAGGGCATTGCTGCAGGATTTGGGGTGCTGGTGTGGGGCATTGGTGCAGGATTTGGGGTGCTGCTGCAGGGCATTGGTGCAGGATTTGGGGTGCTGCTGCAGGGCATTGGTGCAGGATTTGGGGTCCTGCTGCAGGGCATTGGTGCAGGATTTGGGGTGCTGGTGCGGGGCATTGCTGCAGGATTTGGGGTGCTGCTGCAGGGCACTGCTGCAGGATATGGGGTCCTGCTGCAGGGCATTGCTGCAGGATTTGGGGTGCTGCTGCAGGGCACTGCTGCAGGATTTGGGGTGCTGGTGCATTTCCCCAGCCCAGAGCACACCCCTGGGCAGTACCAGCCCCCTCTCTGTCCACACCCACCCAGCCCCGGGGTGCCTGGGGTTGGGATTCCTGCCACGGAGCCCCTCTCAGCCCGCTCTTGCCTTGCAGCCACGCCGACACACAACCACCGCCGGGCCTGCCTGAAGATGAAGGTGTTTGTCTGCTGCGCCTCCAGTAAGTACCCCCGTGCCCGTCCCGGGGGCGGCGGGGCTGGCCCCTGGGTGCCCCGTCCGTCCTTAGGCGGTGGCCGCATGCGGGGGCTGCGGTGCGGGGCGGGCAGCGTGACCCCCGTCCCCTCTCTCCCTCCACAGCGTCGCACTCCGGGGAGAAGCTGGCGCCCACCCTGCCCCAGTTCACCCTGCGGCCCGAGGTGAAGATCGAGGACCTGGGTGAGTGAGGCACAGCCCCCGGGCCCGCAGCGCCGTGTCCCCCCTCCCCGCTCCCCGCCGCCGCCCCTGGGGCAGCCCCGGCCACGGGGTGGGGGTTCAGGGCCTCCCTGCTGCCCTCCTCATCCTCTCCTTCCCCTCCACAGAAAACTTCAACCCGGAGATGCCGAAGCTGGAGAAGAGCATCAGCGGCACCAGCCCCAAGCGGGAACATTTGCCCCTGGCCGTGGCCGCCGCGCTCTTCCTCATGACGCTCTTGGCCTCGTAGCTCCCGGAGCCCGCGGGGGCCCGGCCAGCGCCGCTCTGCCGAGCGCGGCCCCCTCGATCCGCTGCCCCTCGTAAGAGCCAGCGGGGAAGCACGGCGAGACCAGCAGCCCTGCCCGGAGAGAGGCAGGGATCGCGGCACGCACCGATCCGGCCGGACCGGCACCTCCGCAGGGATGCGGCTCCTCCCGGGCAGCGCGGGGTCCTGCCCGCAGCCTCCCCGTGGCTGCTCCGTGCCTGGGGGGCAGCGCCGAGCCCGATGAGAGCAGGGACCCCCGGGGCCGGGCAGTCTGTACATACCCATATAGATCTATACATACTGTACAGAGAGCGACTACAGAGATATTATATCTATACTGTACCATAGGCAGCGGCGCCGGCCCCGGGCTGGCTTGTACATAGTCGAACGTGTTGGATTTTCCTCGTCTTCCGTGAAGACCCGACCTATGCAAACGCACAGACACTTTTTGGGGAAAAACAAAACAAAACAAACAAAAAAAAAACATTCTCGATCTTTTTTTCAAGTGCTTTGGCTGGTGATTTTCATATTCTGCTCTTAGTCTATAAAAAAAATTAATAAAAGGATAAAAAAAGGGATCCCTGTCACGGTGGCATGCAGCACTTCCAGCCCTCGGAGGGGTCCCAGGGGGGCTCCGGCTCGGACAGGCGTTCAGGAGAGGGCTGACCTCCACCGTGCCACCCGCCTTGCCAGGCACACCAGGCTCGGTACCGCTGGCAGGGCCATGCAGGGCACTTTCCACCGCTGGCCCTGCTCCCCATCGACCCCCAGCGCCGGCAGGGACGCGGTGCTTCCCACAGGAATGTGGCGAGGACAGCAGGAGCATCTGAAGGTAAGGGCAGCGCGGGGGCCCCGTGGCACGCAGCGCTGGGGGTGCTGGGGCGGCTTTTGGGAGCGGGAGATCCTTCCCTGCCATCCTCAGCAGCTGCGAGGAGCGAGCAGACACGGGGTGCTGGCAACGCCATGGGAACTGCGGCATCGCCCCTGCGGCGCGTCTGGCTGTGCCGGGCATGCCGGCTCCTGCCTGTTCCGGGGGGATCTGGCACACGCGGGCGGCTCCTGAGGGCTGGGGGACGCCCTCAGCTCCCCCCCAGCACCTCCAGCCAAGGGGATGTGGGGGCTGAATTGTGCCTGAGGTTGGGATCGCATCTAAGGGGGGTGTTGCTGGGGTACCGAGAGCCCCACAGCCCCCACAGACACAGTGGGGCACTCGTGGGCTCCTGAGCCTGCACTCTGCGGGGCTGGGGGGCCCCGTGCCCCCAGGGAGGGAGCAGCAACTCCCGCAGGGATGAGGGGCTGCGAGGGCCCCGCTCCCGTGTGGATTCATTCCTGGGGAAGGGGGTCCTCCCAGCTCCAGAGAGCAGGGCAGCCTCTCTCCCCCACCCAGCAGGCGCTGCTGGGCGGTGGTTGGGTGTCCCGCCGGCCCGGGCTTGTCCGGGTGCGGGAAGAGCCGACGAACCCGTCAGACGGGTCCTGGCAGCTCTCCCAGCAGGCGCCGGGTTCGCCACGTCCCCCCCGCGCCCCGGCAGGCCTGGCCCGGACGGGGCTGAGCTCCCTGCCATGGATCCCCTGCCGGGGTCCCCGGGTGCCACCCGCAGCTCCCTGCTGGCCCAGGGCAGGGTGGGCACGGCGTGGGTGGGGGAGCATGGCTGCCACTGCCAGGGGCCATATCCAGCCAGGGGCTGATTGCCAGGGCTGGCCAGAGCACCTGTGCCAGTGTGGTGCCATGCTGGTGGCACGTGGCACAGTGAGCCTGGCACAGCTTGGGTGGCCAGTGCCCTGCGGGGGTGTGAGAGCCAGAGTCACTGCCCTGGCACAGAGAGCTCTGCCTGCAGGATCTCTCCTGCCACTTGCCTCGACCCTGGCACCGCTTCTTGGGCATGCATGGCACCACCCATGGCTCGGTGGGCACCTGGCTCAGGTGTGCCCCACGCTCCAGGGCTGAGCACAGGGGGACAGCCCAGACCCACCAGGAGTCTTCTGGGTGCTGGTAGAGGGAAATCCCAGGCCCAGCTGCCCCAAGTCAAGTTGGGGGCCATTGTTGGGACCCCAGTGCTGAGGTTTGGGTGCCCCTTGGGTACTTTGGGGTTTCACAGCCTGGGCAGCAGATCCAGGCAGGGGGATGAGTGCCAGGTGTGGCACACAGGGCTCTGCCTCACCTCAGGGCAGCTCCCCTGCCCAGTCAGGGCTCTGTGGCCAAAACATGAGGTCCTGGCACGGCTGGACAGCCCTGGGGCTGCAGCTCTGCCCCCTCCAGGGTGGCACCAGGCCATGCCTACCTGCCATGCCTACCTGCCATGCCTACCTGCCAGGCTGCACGCAGCTGGCACTGCGTCACCGTGGCCTTCGCTCCCGGCCACAAACTGGACGGCTCCTCTTCCTCCCCCAGCCTTGCAGGGTGACGTCAGCCCAGCCAGGGGCCAGGGCACTCCTGGGTGTCCCCAGCCAATAAACCACAAACACTGTCACGAGTTCGGCGGCCTCTGGCCAAGCCTACCTGCCCCACACGGAGCAGCAGCGATGTTTACAGCCTGAAACGGCTTCACCTTTGTCCCTCCATCTTGGGCACCAATCCCAGCCCATTGTCACCTGCTCCCAGGTGCGTGGCCGTGACCATGTGCACCATGTGCACACCACCACTGGCACCCCCAGTGCCACTGCAGGCGGGCTCCCACCCTACCCAGGGTGCTGCCCACCCTGTGCCCCACCGTTGGGTCCCAAAGGAGGTAATGGGGCACCTCTAGCCCCAGTCTTTGTCTCAGACTGTCCTCAGCAGGGGACATGGTCTTGTCTTTCCACTCCTGCTCCTCCACTCTGGGCCTCAGAGTGTCCACGTGGCCTCACTCCCAGCCCCTTCCCTGTCCTGCTCCAGGGCTGGGGCCATGGCAGATGAGACAGGGGAGCCCTTTGGCCAGCGGGGTTGGGTGCCACATCCCAGTGCCACAGGATGGATCCATCGTGGTGTCCAGGAGGCTCCTTATACCCCTGGCAGGCCCAGCACAAGGCTCAATCACCAGGGGCTGCCCAGCCCTCCCCCATCAGTGCTCCCTGCCTTGGTTTCCCCAGGCACAGTCTGTCCCTGACGTGGAGGGGGCAGTACCAGGGTGATGCCAGGACCACGGGATTGGTGCTGCACCCATCCCCGTGGCCTGCACGTGGGCTCCCAGCCGTGTTCCCAGGAGTGCTCCCCTGTGCAAGCCACGGCAGCGCCGGCATCCCAGGAACAGAGGCCTGGCACTGTCATTATGGATGATGTCAGGCCTGGCCACAAGCAGGGCGGATGAGAGCAAAGCAAAGCAGCCTCCCTGGGAGCGAGGGGGTGGGGAGAGAGAGGCTGGGGTGCGGGGGGATGTGGGGCACCCAGCCCCACGGCCTGGGCCCGTAGGATTTGGAGCCACGGCCGCTCTCAGGTTGGCCGTGCCGGCGCCTGCCGGAGCCCCCTGCGCGTGCCAGGGGAGCGCAGCGCGCCCGCTGCGGCACAGGGCACGCAACATTACCCACAATCAATGGATCATTATGGAATAAACAAGAGGAAAGTTGTTTTGCAAATGCGGCTGAGTTATCGCTTCACAACACGCGGCGGAGCGTCGCGCGCCGGCCGGGACACGGATGGATCCGTGTCGGAGCAAACGGGAGCCGACAGCGCGGCACCGCGCTCCTGCCAGCCAGTGGCAGCGTGCCCGCGGTGCCCACCCCGGCTCTGAGCCTGCAGACCCCTGTGCTGCACCTATAGACTGAACTCTGCACCCACAGACCCCTGTGCTGCACCTACAGACCCCTGTCCTGCACCTACAGACCCCTGTCCTGCACCTATAGACCCCAGCTCTGCACCTGCAGACCCCTGTGCTGCACCTATAGACTGAACTCTGCACCTACAGACCCCTGTGCTGCACCTACAGACCCCTGTCCTGCACCTATAGACCCCTGTGCTGCACCTACCAACCCCTGTGCTGCACCTATAGACTGAACTCTGCACCCACAGACCCCTGTGCTGCACCTACAGACCTCCATCCTGCACCTACAGACCCCTGTGCTGCACCTACAGACCCCAGCTCTGCACATGCAGACCCCTGTGCTGCACCTATAGACTGAACTCTGCACCCACAGACCCCTGTGCTGCACCTACAGACCCCCATCCTGCACCTACAGACCCCTGTGCTGCACCTATAGACTGAACTCTGCACCCACAGACCCCTGTGCTGCACGTACAGCCCCCCATCCTGCACCTACAGACCCCTGTGCTGCACCTACAGCCCCCCATCCTGCACCTACAGACCCCTGTGCTGCACCTATAGAGCCCTGTCCTGCACCTACAGACCCCCATCCTGCACCTACAGCCCCCCATCCTGCACCTACAGACCCCTGTGCTGCACCTACAGACCCCCATCCTGCACCTACAGACCCCTGTGCTGCACCTACAGCCCCCCATCCTGCACCTACAGACCCCTGTGCTGCACCTACAGACCCCAGCTCTGCACATGCAGACCCCTGTGCTGCACCTATAGACTGAACGCTGCACCTACAGACCCCCATCGTGTACCTGCAGACCCCTGTGCTGCACCTATAGACCGCAGCTGTGCACATGCAGACCCCTGTCCTGTACCTACAGCCCCCCTGTCTGCATCCACAGCCTCCCATCCTGCACCCACATCTCCCTATCCTGCACCCACAGCCCCATCCTGCACCCACATCTCCCTATCCTGCACCCACAGCCCCATCCTGCACCCACATCTCCCTATCCTGCACCCACAGCCCCATCCTGCACATGCAGCCGTATATATCCTGCACCCACAGCCCCCTATCCTGGACCTACAACTCTCCCTCCTGCACCAACAGCCCCCCAGTGTGCATGCACAGCCCCCGGTGTGCACCCACAGCCTCCCATCCTGCACCCACAGCCCCATCCTGCACCCACAGCCCCATCCTGCACCCACAGCCTCCCATCCTGCACCTACAGCCCCATCCTGCACCCACAGCCCCATTCTGCACCCACAGACCCATGAGACCCATCCTGCACCCACAGCTCTCCCTCCTCTACCCACAGCCCCCCTGTTTGCACCCATAGCCCCCCATCCTGCACCTACAGCCCCATCCTGCACCTACAACCCCATGTCTGCACCCACAGCCCCATCCTGCACCCACAGCCCCCCTGTTTGCACCCACAGCCCCATCCTGCACCCCCAGCCACATCCTGCACCCACAGCACCATTCTGCACCCACAGCCCCATCCTGCACCCACAGCCCCCCTGTGTGTGTGTGGAGTCCCTGCCCGGTGTGTGTCACTTTTTGGGGGGTGGCCCTGCCCGGGGCCGGTCCCGTGTGGGGGGATGGGGTGTGTGTGGAGCTGGGTTGGACCTGGAGCGCGGTGCTGTGTGTGGGGAGGGTGCCGGTCGCTGTCAGGGGACCGCGTCCCCTTCCCGGTGCCGTTCCCGGTGGGGGGGCGGGGATTTGTGTCCCCCGGCCCGGTCCCGGTGCTGGGGGGGTGTGTTTGTGTCCCGGTCAGCGCCGGTCTCGGTAGGGAGCGTTTGCGTCCCCCTGCCCGCTGCCGGTCCCGGTGTCCGGGAGTGCGCGTCCCCCCGCCGGCGCTGCCCTCGGTGTGGGGACGGCTCCATGGTTTCTGTCCCCCAGATCGATACCGCTGGGGGGTGTGTCGTGTGTGTGTCGTCCCCGCCGCCTCGTCCCGTGTGTTGTTGTGCGAACGCGGGGCGGCGGCGGCGGGGGCGGGGCGGCGGCGGGGCCGTACATAAGGCGGGGGCGGGCGCGGGGCCGCCCGTGGAGCGCAGCACCCGCAGAGCGATGGGGCAGCCGGGGGTGCCCCTGGCCCTGCTGGGGCTGGGGCTGTGCTGGGCAGCGGCGGCCGAGCGGCACACGGTGTTCTGGAACAGCTCCAACCCCCGGTGAGTGACCCCCGCCTGCCACCGGGACCCCCCCCCCCCCCCCCCCACACACACACAAACGCGCACCGAGCCCGGTACCGGCCGCCCCGAGGGCGCGGGCGGCGCCGCTCCGCTCCCCGGCGGCCTTTGTGCGGGGCGGGCGGCGGGGCCGGTGCGGGGCTCGCGGCGGGGCCGTGCCGGGGGCGGCGGGGCCGGTCCAGGTGCGCCCGGAGGGGCCTTTCCGTTCCCAGGGCCGTGCGAAGGGGCCGCTTCCTTCCCGCGGGGGGGGCGCGGCGCCAGCCCCGGCGCCGGCCCCGGGGACCGTGTTGACAAACACGGGGCAGGATGTGCGGGGGGGTAGACCTGGATCGGGGCCCCCCCGCTCACCGGCCGCCAGGGCTGCGGGGTGACCCCATCTCAAGCTACAGCCCTACAGGTTCTAAGGGTCCCCCCCCCCCTCGCCCCCGGGCGCAGCCGTGACTCCCCCTGGTTTTAGAGGTGCTCCCCCCAGGGCATGAGCGCTCTCAGGCTCTCGGAGTGTCCCCCCTCGGCTTTTGGGGAGCCCCCCTCACTCCCCAGACTTCCAGGCTATGAGGGTGCCCCACATTCAGGCACCCGTGGGGAGACGTGGGGCTTCCCCTCCTTCTCTGGCCTGAGTCACTCCCTCCCCAGGCTATGGGGCTTCTCCCCCCTGCCCAGGCCGTGTCCCCCATGGGTGTAGGACTCCCCCAGATTGTAGGGCTGTGTCCTCTGCGTCCCCCCAGCAGGTTTTTGGCGTGCCCCCGTGGGTGGTTGTGCCTTCTCGAGGCCACCGCAGCCGGCGAGGTGGGGACCCCGGCGTGCCCCCCCCGGCTGGGGTGTGGGGCGCAGCTGGAGCCGGGCTGGCTGCCCCACGGCGAGAGCCGCGACGCCTCCTGCTCCGGCAGCGCTGGGCCGGGCAGGGTGCGGGCCGGCTGCGCGTCCCAGCGGGTCCCCTCCCTGCTCCCCGGCCCTTGGGGAGCGCTGGGAACTGGGGTGCGCTCACCTCTCACAGCCGAGGGGCCGAGCCGGAGGGAGAGGGAAGGGGGCGCTGCCCTTTGGAAGCTATTCCAGGTGCTGCAAGGCTCAGCACAGGCAAGGGTGCACCCAAAGGTGCCCCCAGGCAGCGCTGCCGTGGCCAAGGTGCTGCCCCCCCTGGGTGTGGGGCGTTTGGGGGTGCAAGCAAAACCCCTAAGGCAGCCCTGACCCCCCTGCCGACCCTCCTGCCGCAGGTTTCTGTGGAGTGACTACACGGTGGAGGTTCGTCTCAATGATTACCTGGACATTATCTGCCCTCACTACGAGGAGGGCAGCGTGGACCCCCGGGCCATGGAGCGCTACACGCTGTACCTGGTGGAGCTGGAGGAGTACCAGGCCTGCAAGCCCCGCTCCAAGGAGCAGATCCGCTGGGAGTGTGACAAGCCCAGCGCCCTGCACGGCCCCGAGAAGTTCTCTGAGAAGTTCCAGCGCTTCACTCCCTTCACGCTGGGCAAGGAGTTCAGGGAGGGACACAGCTACTACTACATCTGTGAGTGCTGGGGAGCTGCGGGGGGGGCTCCGAGGTGCTGCAGGGATTCCTCATCGGGCTCCCCCCATCCCTTCCTAACCCGCCTCTCCCTTCGCAGCCAAACCCATCCACCACCACGGCGAAGCCTGCCTGAAGCTGAAGGTGACGGTGACAGGCAAAGGCAGTGAGTATCACACATCACCACCCCCTCAGGGCCCCCCCCAGCCGCGTCCCCTCCTTCCCAGCGTGGCCTTGGCTGCGCTGAGTCACGGCCTGGCCGTGGCCCCTGGCCAGCCCGGGGTGTGGGCACGCGCAGCTTGGCCGGGAAGGTGTTGGTGGGGGCGGGGAGGGGGGGGACAGCCCACAGAGAAACGGGATTTTGGCGTTTTGGGGGGGTTGGGGTGCTGCCCTTCCCTCCCTGAGCCCCTGTTTGCTCTGCAGCTCCAGCACCGCCTGCCCCGGCCTCGACACAGAAGGGGAGGATCCAGGCAGGTGAGTTGGGGGCTGAGGGCTTGGGGTTCCCTTCTGGGGTGGCAGGGTGTTCTTGGGGGCACCAGGCTGAGCCTGGTGGGGGGCACTGGCCTGAACACATCCACCCAGGGCTTTGCCAGGGGCACTGAGGCTCATCTGCCCCTCCTGGGGGCTCTGGAGCCGGCTGAGGTAGCAAGGCTGGTGGCAACCCTCTGCAGGGGTGATGTGCTGCTGGTTTGGGGTACAGCTTGTCTTTTGGGGAACGGTTTCTCTTTTGGGGTTGCTGGTTACTGATGGCTCCTCTGTTTTCCCCCCACAGACGATGCAGCTGCGCACGTGCTGAGGAGCGTGGGGCAGAACTCGGCCATGCGCAGCAGCAGCCGCCCCTTCACCTTTATCAGCCTCCTCCTGCCCCTCCTGGTGCCACAGGGGCTCTGAGCTGCCCCTCGTGCCCGGACCCACCGAGGCTGTGGCCATTGGGGACCCCCGTGGTCCCCGCACATCTGCCCCGGGTGCCCTGCCCTGTGCACATCTGGGCAAGGAAAGGATTTGTCAGTATTATGGGGCTGGAGGCCCCAAAGCCATCGGAGCAGCTGGAGCCTTCAGGCTTCCCTGGCCCTTCCAGGATGCTCCTGGCAGCCAGAGGCCGAGCGAGAGCCTGGAGCTGGAGGGGCTGAGGTGCCCCAGACTGGAGAGGGGCAGGGGGCTGGCACCCCTGTCCGGCAGCTGAGCTCGCCCAACACCCTCGGGGCTTTCCCCGTGGTGGGCTGGAACTGGAATGTGTCCTGCAGGCGGGGACGTGGGGGTGGCCAGGTGACCCCAGTGTCAGTGGCCAGGGAGCACGGACAGGCTGGAGATGCCCTGCAGCCAGGGGAGAGGGGTTATGAGAAACACCTCACTCCTCCCTGTGCTGCACCCCTACCCCTGCCTTCATCCCCCGGCCCTTCCCCATCCCTCCCCTCCGCTGGGTGCCGGAGGGGCCCCCCAGAACTCCCTTTGTACAGCTTTCTAACACGGGACTTTTTATACCATTGTCGGGAATAAATAACCAAAACCATGCCGAGCTCCCGAGACCTCCCCCACCCTCCTGGGCCAAGGCTCTCCTGGCCCCTGTGGGGGGTTGGGCTGGTTAATTAATTAATTGGCTGGTGTTTGCACGGGGCTGTTAAGTGGCAAAGTGCCACAGTGGCTGGCACTGTCCCCGGCTTTATCTGGTGACACAAAGGCCTCCCCTGAGGGTAGGGACCCCTCCCCCTGCACTGCAGCGAGATTCCAGGTGGGGGGCAGGGGTTGTCCCGGGACAAACCCCATTGGAATGTGACAGACCCCGGGGGATGGGATAAATCCCACTGCTGGTGAGGAGGGGGCTGGGCAGGGGACACAGCCTGGCTGCACCCCAGGGACCCCCACGGGGTGACCCCAGGGATGTGGGACCCCTGAGGGGGAGACAGTGTGGGTGCAGGGAGCTGGGATCGCAGGGATGTGGGGTCCCTGGAATTGGGAACTGCAGGGAGGGAGGGCCCTGGAGAGGTGAGATTTTGGGGCATAGGGATGCAGGACACCCGAATGTGGGGGATTCTAGAGATGGAGGATCATGGAGAGGGATCTCAGGGATGAGTGACCCCAGGATGTGTGCGGGCACCCTGAGACAGTGGGGTCACAAGGAGATGTGGATCCCAGGGACGCAGGATCCTGGGGAATTGTCACAGGGATGTGTGACCCCCAGGATGTGTGGGGCACTCTGGGGTCACAAGGAACTGTGGATCCCAGGGACGCAGGATCCTGGGGAATTGTCACAGGGATGTGTGACCCCCAGGATGTGTGGGGCACTCTGGGGTCACAAGGAGATGTGGATCCCAGGGACGCAGGATCCTGGGGAATTGTCACAGGGATGTGTGACCCCCAGGATGTGTGGGAGCACGGTGGGACAGTGGGGTCACAGGGCAGTGTGGATCCTGGGGAATCGTTGTCACAGGGATATGTGACAGCTCCTGCAGGAGGCGGGGGTGGGGAGCTGGGCTCACAGGGCTCTGAGACCCCCGGGCTGTGCAATCTGCACCGTGGCGTTCCCCCTGGGGATGCCCGGGGACCCCCAAACCTGAATACACGACACCTCGGGGCTCCTCCCCCCGTACCGGCGCCGGTGCCCTCCCCGGTGCCCGCGGGGCGGTCACGCCGGTGCAGCCGGCGCTGCTCCCCCCGCTCGCAGCCGGATCCCCGCCGCTCCTCCCCGGTAGTGCGTCCTGCTCCGCCCCGCTCCGCTCGGCCGCGGGCAGCACCGGCCCCGCCGCGGGCAGCACCGGCCCCGCCGCGCTCCCCAGGCTCCGGCATGGTCCTGTCGGTGCTCGCCGGCCTCTGCCTGGCCGCCACCCTCGCCATGTTCGCCACCGGCCTGTGAGCGATCGGCGGCGGCGGGGCGGGAGCGGTGGGGAACGCACCGGGGCCGGCTCGGGGCTCCCTGAGGGCCCGGGGTGCAGGGGGGGACCCCAGCGCTGGTTTTGGGCTGCAGGGGGGGCCTTGGGGGTGCAGTGGGGCCATGGGGGATGAGAGTGCGATGAGGACCCCAGGGCTGGCTTTGGGGTGCAGTGTGGGCCTTGGGGAGGGGGATTTGTGGGTGCAGGGGGCCCATGGGGGATGAGGTGCGATGAGGACCCCAGGGCTGGCTTTGGGGTGCAGTGTGGGGCCTGGTGGGAGAGTTGGGGTGCAATGAGGAGGGCACCAGAGGAATTTTGGGGGCCGCAGTGGGGGCCATAGGGGTGCAATGGGGAGGGCACCAGAGGAATTTTGGGGGCTGCAGTGGGGGCCATAGGGGTCCAATGGGGAGGGCATCAGGCCCAGTTTGGGGGTGCAATGGAGGCCATAGGGGTGCAATGGGGAGGGCATCAGGCCCAGTTTGGGGGTGCAGTGGGAAGGGCAGTAGGGGCATGTAATGGGGGCCAGTTTGGGGGTGCAATGGGGAGGGCACCAGGCCCAGTTTGGGGGTGCAATGGGGGCCATAGGGGTGCAATGGGGAGGGCACCAGGCCCAGTTTGGGGGTGCAGTGGGCGATGGATGGCTGGTGCAGAGGGATTGGGGGTGGTGCTGACTTTTGGGGCGCAGGGGGAGGTGAGTGGGGGGCGCAGTGCCTGCTGGCTGCAGAGACTGGAGCCTCCCCCACCTCAGCACTGCCAGGCACCCAGGAGGACGCTGCCCTCCGCCCTCCCCAGGTCTGACCTGCGCCAGATGTTGGCGACCAAAAGCGTGGAGAACATCCAGTTCCTGCCCTTCCTCACCACCGATGCCAAGTACAGCGGGGTCGGGTCCTGGGGAGGGGGGGGTCATACAGATTTGAGGGGCTGGGGGGATCCCCCAGGCTGCAGCCAAGTGCCTGTGCCATATCCCTGCAGCAACCTGAGCTGGCTGGGCTATGGCTGCCTGAAGGGGGACGGGACAGTGATCACCGTCAACGCCATCGGGGCAGCTCTGCAGACCCTCTACATCCTGGTGTATCTCTACTACAGCCCTGCCAAGGTGGGGCAGGGACCTGGGGCGATGGGGAGGATGGGGGATCCCCACCCTGACATCCCCCCCTGCTGTCCCTCCCAGCGCCCCGTGCTGCTTCAGGTCCTGCTGCTCCTGGCTGTGGTGGTCACTGGCTATGGCTACTTCACCATCCTGGTTGACACAGGGACACGCCTGACACACCTGGGGCTCTTCTGCAGCGTCTTCACCATCAGCATGTACCTCTCACCGCTGGCTGACCTGGTGTGTGGGGCTTGGCAGAGCTGGGGCTTGCCAGCCCAGGCCCTGCCTGACGTTTGCTCCTGCAGGCCAAGGTTATCCGGAGCAAGTCCACGCGGTTGCTGTCCTTTCCCCTGACCGTCACCACCCTCGTGGCCTCCAGCAGCTGGACACTCTATGGCCTGCAGCTCCATGATCCCTACATCACAGTGGGTTGGGGTGGTGGAATGCTGAGGGGTGCCATCCCATCCTATCCCATCTCACCATGTCCCAACCCATCCTCCTCCATCGCATCCCACACAGTCCCATCCCCATCCCACCCCACCCTGGCCTGCTTCATAGACATTCCACCCTTCTCAATCCCATCCCATTCTGTTCTGTCCCTCTCCTGCCCCATCTCACCTCATTCCACCCCTGTCCCATCCCATCCTATCCCATCCCATCCCAGCCTATCCTATCCTTCCACATCCCCATCCTCACCCCACTGCCATCCCATCCCATGGATCACATCCCATCCCAGCCTATCCTATCCTTCCCCATCCTCATCCTCACCCCACCCCATTCCCCTCTCATGGCTCAGCACTGGCCCCGTTCAGCCCTGCCTGTGTCACCCAGCCAAGCATGATGACTATTGATTTTAATTAATTAGCTGGGATGGGGCCAATAAACCTCCCCCAGCAGCACAGGGGGGAGGGGTACATCCACTGTCCCCCCATGTCCTCCCGCAGGTCCCCAACGTGCCAGGGATCGTCACCAGCCTTGTGCGGTTCTGGCTCTTCCAGCGGTACAGACCAGAGCAGGAGAAGCCCTACAGCCCCCTGCCTGCCTGAGAGGTGCCCTCAGGAGCACCCCAACTCTGCCCTGGGCTGGCCCCACCGCTGTCCCCTTGGCCACTCCCAGTGGGACACCAGGAAGGATCTCTTGCCTCCAGCCCTGCATCCTTCAGCGAAGGCCCCGGAGCTCTCAGCGAATCCTTTGGGGTACCACAAGCCCCTCAAACCCCAGGGTGGGAGGATAGATTTCCATGCCTATGGCTCTGCCTGGCAGCAGGATTTCGAGGGGCAGGGCTTTTGAGTGGCTTCCAAGGGTCCAGGTGTCACTTTTGTATGGATTCAAGTGCCTTTTAATAAATCAGAGACTTCCCAGCGCCTGCTTCTTGTACCTGCTGCAGAGGATGGTGCAGCTCTTGGCCCTGCAGCTGCTTTGGGAGCTCTTTGTGGCCAACCAAGGGGCTGCTTATGGCCATACAGGGGCTACTTTTTGGGGGAGGCTTATTCTGACACACCCTGGGCTCTGGCAAACCCTCGGTAGGCATCAGCCGTGGTGTTGGGGACACGAGGGGACCCCAGGGAAGCCAGCGCTGCTCTGAGCCCCCTGAGGGAGCCACCCATCACAGTATGGGGGTAAAAGTGTGGAACTGATGAGCAGACACCATGGCAGGACCTGGGAATCGATGGGAATCCTTGCTAAACCCTCTTGGATTGAGCAGGCCTGCATCAAGCATCGCTGCTCTGTCAATTAATCAATTAAAAGCAATGCAGAATGAAGATACTGGGCTGGTGCCTCGGTGGAGGAGCCAAATCACAGAGCAGACACCAGAGCCTTGCAGAAAGAGACCCCCACCCCATGCAGGACCCCCTCAGGACTGAGGAGCTCATCCCATGCTCCCCCCACGAGGGGACCCCAGGGAAGCCAGTGCTGCTCTGAGCCCCCTGAGGGAGCCACCCATCACAGTGTGGGGGTAAAAATCTCTGGAACTGAGGAGCAGCCACCATGGCAGGAACTAGGAAATTGTGGCAGCAGCTCTGGTCACAGAGAGAAACAGGAATCGATGGGAATCCTTGTTAAACCCCTGTGGGTCGAGCAGGCCTGGATCAAACATCAATGCTCTGTCAATTAACCAATTAACAGAGATCTGGAATGAAGATATCGGGCTGGTGCTTCAGTGGAGGGGCCAAATCACACAGCAGACACCAGGGCCTTGCAGAAAGTGACCCCCACCCCATGCAGGACCCCCTCAGGACCGAGGAGCCTCATCCCACACTCCAGCCAGGTGACACCATTGGGATGAAGGACGCTGGCAGGAGCTGTGCTGTGCCTCTGCTGCTTGTGCACACCTCACACACAGCCTGCAAAAATCCATATAAAGGGACAGAGCTGAGCGTGGTGCCAAGGGAAGGAGGACAAGCTCCCGGCGTGCTCTGTCTTGCCCTGTGGAGCTTGGGCTCCCCGTGCCTGCTCCGGGGACTTGGCTCAGCAGGGAAGAGCCCCCAATTTCGGGAAAGAGCTCCCAGGCCGGCCCCACAGCCTCAGGAAAGGGCTGCCAGGCTGGCCCCACAGCCTGGGGAAAGGGCAGCTTTCTCCACTGCCACACCTTGGCTGCCAACCGGTCGCTCCGGCTGCCCCGTGCCGGGAGCGGCTGTGACGTGGCCCCTCGTGCCAGCTCCCGGATGCCTCCATGCAGGGAGGAGCTGCTGCCACAAGGGCTGGGAGGAGCTCCTCGTGGCCATGAGTAGAGGCTCTGGATCGCCTTGAGTAGCCCCTGCATGACCATAAGTAGCTCCTTGAAGGCCATGAGTAGAGGCTCTGGATTCCCATGAGTAGCCTGCACAGGGTCATGGGTAGCTCACAGATGGCTGTGAGAAGCCCCTGGATGGCCACAAGGAGCCCCAGATGGTCCTGAGCAGCCTGGCAGCAGCCCCTGGATGGCCAAAAGGAGCCCCCTGGCTGGCTGTCAGTAGCCCCTGATGGCCACGTGTAGCCCCTGCATGGCCACAAGGAGCCCCAGGCAGTCCTGAGCAGCCTGTCAGTGGTCCCTGATGGCCAAAAGGATCCCCTGGCTGGCTGTCAGTAGCTCTGATGCCCACAAGGAGCCCACTGGCTGGCTGTCAGTAGCCCCTGATGGCCACATGTAGTCCCTGGATGGCCACAAGGAGCCCCAGGTGGTCCCAGGTGGTCCTGAGTAGCCTGTCAGTAGCCGCTGATGGCTGTAAGTAACCCCAGGATGGCCACAAGGAGCCCCTGGCTGGCTGTCAGTAGCTCTGATGCCCACAAGGAGCCCACTGGCTGGCTGTCAGTAGCCCCTGATGGCCACAAGGAGCCCCAGGTGGTCCTGAGTAGCCTGGCAGCAGCCCCTGATAGCCACAAGGAGCTCCCTGGCTGGCTGGAAGGCTACAGGTAGCCCCAGGATGGAGCTGGATTGCCATGAGTAGCCTGCAGAGAGTCATGAGTAGTCCCTGCATGAGCACAAGTAGCCACTGGATAGATGGAGCCCTTTTGAATGATCATGAGAAGCCCTTGGCTGGCTGTGAGCAGCCCCTGGTGACCCTCAGTAGCCCACACAAGGCTGTCAGTAGCCCTGCTGCAGTCCTGACCCCACCAAGGCCCCATGGGGCCAAATCCAGGGCAATGTCACCCCCCCAGCCAACCACCCATGTGCCAGCGAGGGCTCAGAGCTTCCCACTCTGCTCCCACCAGCCTTTGCTGCACAGGAAACAGCTAATTAGCTGCTCCTGCTAATTAACCCGAGTCCTCCCTCCTGCTCCCAACTGCTCCTTTCTGCAGAGCATTCACAGCTGCTAATTAAAATCCCAAAGTCCTTTGGCTGGAGGAGCTGGTGGCTGCCAGGGCAGCAGGTTCCTGCACATGGGGTCAGAGAGCAGGAATGGAGGTCCCCAGACAGAGCCCCCCACCCCTCCCTCTTCCCAGTGAAGCCCAGTGTGGTGCTGTGGATGGGCAGAGGAGTTGGGGGAGCTGCCCTGGAGCTGCTGGGTGGGGTGGGGGACAGCACACCACAATTTAAAGGCTGTGGCGCCTGCCCCACCCTAGCAGTCCCTCTCCTCCTTGCTGGGAACTCAGCCAGCAGGATGGGATGGGGCTCCTCCAGCTCCCACCTGCCGGGGTGAGCCACATCTGAGCTGGGAATGTGTCTGGATCCCACTTCAGAGCCAAATTCCAGAGAGCTCAGCCAGGGACAGTGGGGACATGCACGGAGACCCTGCCCTTCACAGAACCCCCAAACCCTCCCTGCACACCCCGAGAGCCGAGCAATCCCCCTGGGAGAACCCAGTGGTTCCTCCGGGTGCCTTCCAGCAGCTCCCGAGGCTCTCAGTAGACCCACATGGAAATTCTTCCCTTCACAGAACCCCCAAACTTTCCCTGCACACCCCAAGAGCTGAGCAATTCCCCCGGGAGAACCAAAATCATCCCTCCAGGTGCCTTCCAGCAGCTCCCGAGGCTCTCAGTGGACCCTCATGGAAACCCTGCCCTTCTCAGAACCCCCAAACCCACACACCCCAAGATCCGAGCAATCCCCCTGGGAGAACCAAAATCATCCCTCTGGGTGCCTTCCAGCAGCCCCCGAGGCTCTCAGTGGACCCTCATGGAAATCCTTCCCTTCACAGAACCCCAATCAGCGAGAGCTGGGTGATTCCCCAGGGAGAACCCAGTGACTCCTCCAGGTGCCTTCCAGCAGCCCCCAAGGCTCCCTGTGCCCGCACCCCCAGAGACCCCCGGCCCCGTCGTGTCCCAGGTCACACACAGCACGGCCAGCACCGTCCTTGGGTCACACACAGGACAGCCAGCATGTCCCAGGTCACACACAGCACTGTCCCCGGTCACACACAGCATGGCCAGCACCATCCCGGGGTCACACACAGCACCGTCCGGTGTCACACAGCACGGCCAGCACTGTCCCGGGCCTTTATTCGGCTCCCAGGCGCAGCCCCCGCCGCCGCAGGTCGGCCCTCGCCGCCTTGATGTGCTCCTGCAGCTCGGCCGCCGCCTCCTCGCAGTCGTTGAAGGTGGCCAGGCGGTAGCCCACGGTGGCCAGGGAGTAGCAGCCGAAGGCCACGAGCAGGTAGACGGGCAGCGGCAGCAGCGCCTGGCGGAGCGGGGCCGGCGGCTGCAGCCCCGGCGGGGCCAGAGCCAGCGCGGCCCAGGCCGAGCCCAGCAGGGCCAGTCCGCAGAGCCACTGCGCCAGCTTGGTCATGGCGGCCTGAGGGGAGAGGAGAGTGGGAGAGCCGTGAGAGGAACAGGGGAGAAAACGGGAGAGGGGCAGAGAAAGAAGGAGGGGGGGACCGGGAGAGACGGAGCGCCCCGCACCGGGCCCAGTCTCCTCCGGGACCTCCTGACCCCAGTTGGAGCGCTGCCCCAATTCCCCTTGGGCCTCCACCCGCCGGACCGAGCCCTCCCCAAAGACCCAGAACCCGAACCCGAAACCGAACACGGACACGGACACGGACCGGGACCCGGGCCCTGCCCCACCCCCACCTGGCTCGGTCCCGCTCCCGGTGCCGGTCCCGCTCCCCGCCCGGCGCAGTGATGACGTCACTGCAGCGCCGCGCGCGCGAGGGCTGCCGGGAATCGTAGTTCGGCCGAGCGGGGGCGGAGCGCGCTCCCTGCTGGCGGGGCACGGCAGCACCGGGAGCCCTCCGGGAGCCCCGGTGCGGCCCCGCTGCCGGTGCGGCAGGAAGCGCCGGGCTTTGTGGGCCGCCGCCGGGGCCGCAGGAAGCATCTGGTTTCCTCTACGTCCGGTCGGAGGGGGTGCCAGGGAGCCAGCGTGGGAGCGAGTCCCGCCCGCCCTCCCACGGCTGCGGGAACCGCGCCGTTCCCACCCTCCCCCCCCACAACCGGGCAGCCCCGGTGCCCCCCCCCAGTGTCGTGCGGAGGGCACAGACGGGTCTGTGATGCCCTGCCAAGGGCAGCAGCCTGAGCTGTGCCAGCACAGCTGGGGCTGGACTCCCACAGCCCCCTGCCCACTCCAGTCTGCTCCAAGCCTGGCTCTGCTGGGATCTTCCTCCCTGGCAAGTCCGGGCACACAAGGTGCCAGCAGCACATCTCCCACCTTTGGCCACCTCTGGGCAATCCAAAACCTACCCCAGGCTCCAGGGCCGCTTCCAGCCACACTGGCACACAGCAGGGCCAGGAGCTGGGCTGGCAGCTGGCACAGGGGACAAGCAGCTACAAAGAAATGGCTTTATTGGGCAGGGGGGGGTCCTGGATCGGCCACAGGGAGGGGGCTGCCCCAGGAAGGGGCAGCAGGACATCAATTTCTCTTCCTGCCCTTGCCAACAGCCTTGGCAGGAGGAGCGACGGGCGCTGTGGACTGGTAGAGAGTGGAGGAGATCTTGTTGATGTAGTAGAGACCCACCATGGAGAAGATGAGGCTACAGGGGCAGAAGGGCAGAGGCTGCTCAGCTGCTGGGGGAAGCAACATGCCAGGCTCACCCCAACACCTTTCCCCTGGGTCCCATTCCCTGCCCTTCCTAAAGCAACAATTTCCCCCTGGACCCCACTCCCCTGCCCTTCCCTAACACATTCCCCTTTCTAAACCAACAATTCTCTTTCCCCTTTCTAAACCACACTCTTCTGCCCTTTCTAAACCAACAATTTCTCCTTGGATCCCACTGTGCTGCCCTTTCTAAACCAACAATTTCCCCTTGGATCCCATTCTCCTGCCCTTCCCAAACACCCTCCCTTGAATCCCGCTCTCCTGCCTTTCCTAAACCAACAATTTCCCCCTGGATCCCACTGTGCTGCCCTTCTTAAGCACTTTCCCCTTGGATCCCACTCTCCTGCCCTTCCTAAACCAACAATTCCCATTGGATCCCACTCTCCTGCCCCTCCTAAACACCCTCCCTTGGATCCCACTCCCCTGCCCTTCCCAAACCTACACTTTCTCCTTGGATCCTATTCTCCTGCCCTTCCCAAACACCCTCCCTTGGATCTCACTGTGCTGCCCTTCCTAAACCAACAATTTCCCCTTGGATCCCATTCCCCTGCCCTTTCTAAACCCACATTTTCTCCTTGAATCCCACTCTCCTGTCCTTCCTGAACCAATTTCCCCTCAGATCCCACTCTCCTGCCCTCCCCACCAGCCCCCTGATGCTCCCTGCTCAGCCTCCTGCCGCCCTCCCAGTGTCCCCTGTGCCCCCTCAGTGTCCCCTCGGTCACTCCCACCCCCCAGGGCACCTCTGGACCTACCAGGTGGTCACACAGACCCTGTGGATGAGGCCAGAGGCGAACAGGGCCAGCAAGAGGCAGGTGAGGACTGTGGAGAACCAGGAGACACACGGTGCTGCAGGGCTGCCCTTGGGGATGGAGGGGCAGCAGAATTTCCCCCAGACCCCAGAAAAAGCTCAAGAGGAGCTGCCACAGTTGCAGGGCAGGGCTGGGACTGTCCAGTGCCACTGCTGGGGCACCCCCAGCCCTTTGGTCACCTCCGTGTCCCCCCCAGGCTCCCCCAACACTCACTCTCAGGGAATATCTTGGCCTGGAAGCCCTTCCCAAAGATGAGGTTCTCCAGGTTGTTGAAGGCCTGGGTGTGGAGTTAAGGCACACAACGGGATCTTGCTGCCCCCATTTCCCATCCTCCCTGACCTCTGGAGGGTGTGAGGGACAGTTTGGGGGTGCAATGGGTGCAATGGGGGGGGGGGGGGGGGTGTAATGGGGAGGGCACCAAGGCCAGTTTGGGGGTGTAATGGGGAGGGCATCAGGCCCAGTTTGGGGGTGCAGTGAGGGCCATAAAGGGTGCAATGGGGAGGGCACCAAGGCCAGTTTGGGGGTCAATGGGTGCAATGGAGGGGGTGTAATGGAGAGGGAATCAGGCCCAGTTTGGGGGTGCAGTGAGAGCCAAAGGGGGTGTAATGGGGGGAGAGTATTAGGCCCAGTTTGGGGGTGCAAAGGGGAGGGCACCAGGGCCAGTTTGGGTGTGCAGTGAGTGACAAAGGGGTGCAATGTGGGGAGGGCACCAGGCTCAGTTTGGGGGTGCAATGAGGGCCAAAGGAGGGTGTAATGGGGAGGGCACCAAGGCCAGTTTGGGGGTGCCATGGGGAGAGTACCAGGGCAGTTTGGGGGTGCAGAGAGGGTCACAGGGGGTGTAATGGGGAGGGCATCAGGCCCAGTTTGGGGGTGCAATGGGGGCCAAAGGGGTGAAATGGGGCACCAAGGCCAGTTTGGGGGTGCAGTGAGGAAGGCAGTGGGGGGGTGCTATGGGGGCTGCTCCCCACTACCCCTGTGCTCCCGTTCCCAGCCCACCATCCCCTGCAGCCCCTCCGGTGTCCCCGGGATGCCGTGAGGGAGCAGACGAAGAGCGCCGAGCCCAGCAGCCCGCCCTGGATGGTGAGCCACTCGGTGGAGGCCAGCTGCCGGCTGTACATCTGCATCCCTGCGAACAGCAGCAGCGACAGCAGCGACGACAGCGCCAGCGACGTGCCCGTGCCTACGGCTGAGTCCCGGGGCCGCCTCAGCACCGGCACCGAGGCTGAGCTCAGGGCCGTGCTGTGCCCCCCTTCCCCCAGCCCAGCTGCCCCGCAGCTCCCGTTAACCCCGTTATCCCCGTGCCCCCAATACCCTCCTGTGCCATCACACCTCCATTCCCTGTTCCCGTTACCCCCGGCCCCGGTACCCCCTGCTCCCGTTAACCCCGTTATCCCCGTGCCCCCAATATCCTCCTGTGCCATCCCACCTCCATTCCCTCTCCCCACTGCCCCCCGCCCCGTTACTCCCGTGCCCCGGTACCGCCCGTTCCCCCTCCTTTCCCGTCCCCCCGCTATCCCTGATACTCCTCCCGCCTCGGTTACCCCCGTTACGCCCCCGTTACCCCTCGTGCCCCCGGCATTCTCATCACCACCCCAGTCTCCGTGCCCCCCCATTCCCCCCGTTCCCCCCCGTGCCCCTCGCCCCTCCCGTTACCCATGGTGCCCCCAGCCCGTCCCGGTGCCGCTCCCGGTGCCGCCGTTCCGCGCATGCGCACTTCGCCCGCGCGCAGGAGGGACACGGCAGCAGCGCCCGGGACGCGCCACTGCGCATGCGCGGGAGGCCCCGCCCCTCCCAGCGCGCCCCCCCTGGCGGCCGGGAGTGGCACTGCAAGTCCGCGCCGTCCCGGAGCGCCCTCTGGCGCCGGGGACGGGAACAGCGCGGGGACGGGACCCCTGCACCGAGCACCGGCCTCGGTACCGGCACCGGGACCCCCCTCGGGAACGCCCCCGGGAGCACCGCCGGTACCGGTGCCTTGCTCATCCTGCCCGCAGCCCGCCCCCGGCGCCGCTCCTCGAGTGTCGCTCCTCGGGGGATGCCCGGGGGTACGGCGAGAGCATCCCCGCGCCGCTCCCCCCTACCCCCCACCGGTGCCGCCCCTCCGGTGTCTCCACCGCCCTCCGGTGCCGGCGGGGCGGGCGCCGCCGAGCATGCGCGCCGCCGCCCCCCGCCCTCCCCCCGGCTCCGCCGCTCCCTGCAACACACCGGGGCGATCGCGGCCGCCGCTGCTGCCGCCGCCGCCGCAGGCACGGGCGCGGGTAGCGGAGCCATGGCCGAGGGCGAGGACCTGCAGACCTTCACCTCCATCATGGACGCGCTCGTCCGCATCAGCGTGAGCGGCCGCGGTGGCGGCGGGGGGGCGGACAGGGGTCCTCCGGGACCGGGTCGCCGTGGCAACGCGGCGGGGACTGGGGGGGAGGGCGATGCCCTTGAGGGGTGGGCGGGCAGCGGACCCGCACCCCGACTCACCGCAGCGACCCCCGGGCATCCCCCGGCATCGGGACCCCCCCACACCGAGCCGTGGTCGAGCCGGGAGCACCGGGTGCCGAGAGGGCGGCCCCATCCCGGCCCCGGTCTTGGTGCCCAGCCCGGTCCTGGCGCCGGTCCCAGGGCTCTGCTGTGGGTCCAGCTCCAGTCCCCATCCCAGCCCCCATCGCCATCCTGGCCCCCATCTCCCTCTCCATCCCAGTTCCAATCCCACACCCATCCCAGTCCCCATCCCCATCCCAGCCCTGGGCCTAATCCTGGCACTATTCCCAGTGCTGGTCCTCATCCCCATCCCAGCCACCATCCCAGCCCTGGGCCCATCCTGGTACTGATCCCAGTAGTGGCCCCCATCCCCATTGCACTGCCAGTCCTGATACTGGTCTGATCCTGGGCACAGCCCCAATCCCATCCCCACACCAGGCCTGGGTCCCATCCGGGTTCTGATCCCAGTCTTGGTGCTGATTCTGCCCATGCTGCTGCTCCCAGGCCTGATCCTGGCTCTGATGCTGGTCCCTGTCCTCATCATCCCCCCATCCCTGCTCCTGCTCCTGGCTCTGGTGCTGCTCCCAGGCCTGATCCTGACCCTGCTGTGATCCCAGCCTCAGCCCCCAGCTGATCCTGGTTCTGACCGTGCTGCTGCCCCCAGGCCTGATCCTGGCTTTGATGCTGGTCCTGGTGCCAGTGCTGGCCCCAGTCCTGGTCCTGCTGTGGCCCCAATTTCCACCCCCAGTCCAGCCCTGGGCTTCATCCTGCTGCTGGCCCTGACTTCCAGGCCTCATCCTGGCCATGATGCTGGTCCCAGC